ATTGGTGCTCCGAGACATTATCCCCGCCCCCTCCCCTTCAAGGGAGGGCTGCGCTCCCACCGCTTTCGCTCATTGGTGTACCAAAAGGCACTAGCCCCGCCCTCCTCGGCTCCCATTGGAGGGAGGCCGACCTCGACCGCCCCCCTCCTCGTGTTTCCAGCGGGACACAGCGGCTCAGTTGCTAGGTGGCTCTAAGGTCGCCGTTGGTTCGCTCGCTCATCAATCACACTCGGTCTCGCCTCCCCGCTGGAACGGAGCTGTTTGCCCCGCTGCCGAGTCGCGGCGTGTTTACAAGGCAGCAGCGCGGGAGCCCGTGACGGAGCCGCGAGTTCGAGCCCAGCCCCTCCAGCGGGGCCCGACAGTAACTGCGGGGGTACCGCCCGCGGTAAAGCCGGCCGCTCTCCCACGCGTTTGCGGTAACTACCAAGTATGCATGCAAATGAACGCCCCTAGGACTCAAGTACAGCGGTGGGGCAATGGTGGTGGGAAGGCTTTGTGAAGTAGTGGCAGTTTATGGACAAGGACGAGCGTTCCTGGCTTTGCACCAGCACCCGCCCCAAGCAAGGTACCACACGTCGCCCTGCAGCAAGGAGACCCAAGCCATAGCTACAGGCTTTTAAAGTCATTCATTCTGTGGACTTCAGTCTTGCTTTTACGACATTTATAGCCTGAAGAGGCACATACTTTTGCCCTCAGATCCACATCAGTGTTGGCTGGTCTTGCCCTCTCCCGATCCTCATTCAAATATTACTGTAGAATCACACAGAAATCCATGAGAATGAGACTGGAATGGGATGTCAGCCAGCCTGAGCTTTCCTCCTGATCCTGCAATCCAGCCTGGTGATATATGCACATGAGAACAAAAGCCTATTGCCTTCCTTGATAATACTGCAAAGCATGTATTAAAAGCACTACATAGGAAGCTGAGGGAGAGGGGTCATCTTTGGAGTAAGTGCTCACCCTTCACATGCCATTAACAGCAAAATAAATTCAGCAGGTTTCTAGACTGAGCTGCATCAGTGCATCATATCCAAACCCAGGTGTCAGACCAGTAGGAAAAAAAAAAACACCAGAAACCTACAAGCAAGAGAACAAAAGCTTACAGAAAAATCTCATTTTTTAAACTTTATCATAACACACATCTTTACTGCCTAAGCTCTGTGCAAAGCCCTTTACGACCTTCTTGTCAATTGCTTGTAGCATATCTGTCAGCAAATATAATTTAAAAATTTTCTTGGAAAAAATCTTTTTAACCCTCAGTGATTTCCAAATAGTGTCAAATTGGTGCAAAGTAAGTTTTTAAAAAGACAGAACCCCTCCCCTCCCCAACCAAAATAGAGCTGTATGCACCAAGTTCCAGTATACGTAAAAATTACAGCTCCATGTAGGGTCTTAATGCCCTTGTTTTACTGAAGAAAAAAAAAAATCCACCCCACTTTGCCAAAGCACATCTAAGTCAGAAGAATCATATACACAGGGCTTACTCCGGATTATCTGCAGCCAGACGTAAGCCCTAAATTGAAAAAGGATCTACAACTATGCCTTACATTTCTACTCAAAATAAAAGAAAAACAAGTCCTTGACTAATAAAATCTATTTGCATGGGAATGATGCAATACTGGTCTACTGATTCTTAAAAAACAACAAAAAAAAAAACCCAAAACTCTTAACACGCCTATTTCAGGACTGCAAATAAAGCAGCAAGCTCAAGAATACTGCTATAGCATTCCTTAGTATTTTTAACACAGTGCGACCTGAAGAGTACGTACAAGATATCCTGTTCTGTTCCCCTATGGACACCAAAATACCACATTCCCAGCTTCAGACAGGCAAGTCTCTTTCTAGCATACTCATGCATCCAACAGTTACACCTCTTTATAATCCAGTCATCATTTATTGGAACCAAAGTCCTCTTGGAGGTGGGGAAGATAAATTTGCAACAATAAACTACAGTTTAAGGGCTTCTTTTACTGTAGAAGTTAGCATGCAACAGAATACTGCTTGAACTGTTACATACAGAGAGAGAGAGAAGTGTGCCTTTCTTCCAGATGCTTTATCTGTCAGAGCTGATTTTTCAGTTTTTACTTTGAGAGGGACTATGCAGTTGCAGTAGTCATTCGTACTTTTGCAGTGGAAGCAACGCTCTTGACAGTTGGAGGACAGCCCTGGGCATCAGGAAACTAGCGCTCTAACCCCAAGTCTAACGCAGCCCTCCTCTATGAATTTGGACAACTTCCTCAAATTCTTTATACCTCAGCTTTCCAGTCATATCAAAGCTATTTGCTATAAGCAAAAGAGCGTCATGGGATTTAAAGCACAAGTTTCAGTGGAGTCCTTTGAGATGTCACAAGAAAAACATTAAAGTGCAAACTAATCCTTCTATCTTGCTTTACTGAAATTCTATTTATTTGATTTTTCCAGCAGTTCACCAGGGAAGAGTGGAAAAAGAACCAAACCTTTTCATAACAAACTCGACAATTAGAAGCATTTGGTTTTTGTTAATCTGAAGAGTTACTTGCTTGTCAATTGTTTAAAAAAAAAAAAGTAGAAGTAATGCTTTTTCAGATATCTGTTTTGATGTCACAAGTGCTGGAACTCTGGCATGTTTCCACTTTCCCGAATATTTCCACTTATCTGACAATTACATGTAAACATGTTTAGAACACAAATCTGTGCCAAGCCCAGGTTTATTTTGAGGGAAGTTCATGGTTACACTTTATACAGGAACTAGTCAGCTAGAATACACCCACAAATCTTTAACCCATCACCTGTCTGAATAATACAAAGAATGCATTTACTAACCCACTTTCAAGCTTTAAGATATCCCTGTGAGAGGCAGGCTGAAAGTACTCGTTTTTTAAAGATTAAGAAATAATGATATGCATGTTACTCTTTTACCGTGCCAAACAAAACTAGGCTAAACATAAGTCAGAGCTGTAAAATAAACAAATACATAAACAATAACAACAACTTCTTGATCAGGATGAAAAAAAAAAAAGACTCTCAAACTCTTGCATCCAAAGTGGCAGCTACATTTATTGGAAAAAAACCCACTTTAAAAAAAAAAATCCTTGCAAAGAGCATATTTTCTTCTCACTATTAAAATGACCCAAAAATGAACATCCTCCCAGAACTTCATGCTGAAAGGCAGAAACTTGGAAAGCAAAGAAACCCAGTGGTAATACGGCATACTTTGCATCTAAAAGAGAGACAGACAAAGTCCAAACATTAAACTCTGAGGACAAAAAATTTCTCTGATTTTTCTCTCTGCAACAAATTAGGTAGATCAGGTCCTCTGCTTCAGTCTCACTTTTATTCAGATTTTGCCCCAAATTATGCCCCTGGAATCACTATGGTTACAGTGAAAAATTAATCCATGAAAGCATCAACTCTGCAAATAAACAGACATCAATGACACTGCTCCCAATGTCGTTGCATTATCAGACAAACGGCTAAACTCTGCTCTTAAGGCCTATCTCAGTTTGTTATTTTGATGATGATGCTTTTAATTCCATTTACATTTATCTGCTCATACAGCTGATCTGAAGAATTTTTGAAAACACATTTCCATCCCTTAGGGTGATTTATGTTTAAGAGAAAAACAAGCAGTAACAACAAATCTCCATCACTGTCATAATTATAAATCACCTCTTTCTGTAATGGAAGTTCCTACATCCTTCCCGAACCACCCTCTCAGCCTTTCCATTATTTTTTTTTTTTTTTTGGGGGGGGGGGCAGGGGGGCGGAGAAGAGTCCATAGCCCTTTTGTCATATGTTCACACAAATAGAGGCTTGCAGCCTGAAAAGCCCTAATGCATATTTTCCATTTATAAATATATACCAACCCATAAAAGGCTGCACATACCAATTACCTTTTCTTTTCCTGTACATACTGTCAAGCAGTAAACAGAAATTAGCAGCTGCAGTGCTTTTTTATTCAGGAGGTGTGTATCAACGGATGACTCACCAAATAATTTGTAGCCCAGTATGCCAGTTGTCTTCTCCTCCACAGAAAGAAACACTATTTTAAACAGAAAGTTAACCACTGTGGATGCTGCAGGCAAGCCAACGGGTTTGGTGAAGCCCAGCAGCACAGAGGGAAGGGGATGGTCCCAGAAACATATTGCAAACACTTTTAAAAATACTCAAACGGAAACAAATGAC